AGATGTGGCCAAGGTAACATCATTCTCTGTGGCAGCTCCTAAGTTGTGGAATTCCCATCCCCACAAAGGTGTGCTTGACACCTTCATTGCTTCATTGTGCAGCTTTTGTCACATATGGAAGATACGCCTCTTGACTTCCGGGGTGGCGCCATCGGTAATGGCGGACTCCCTCTGATCCGGAGGGACTGGCTCCACGGAAAACGGGTCTGTTCCGCTACGGTGAAGCGGGGACCCTTCAAAAAATCACAGGCGGCGGAAGCCTGTGACCATGGGACTCGGCGGGCACCTTTCACGCCCCCCCAATCCGTAAAGGAACCCAACTACGGGCTCCGGAGCGAAGAGGGGCTAGTGGCGCGGTGCTGAGAGTCAACTGCTTCTTCTGTGGAGCAAAGCCACACAGCCATTGCCGGAGAGCGCTACCTTTTTCCTGGGACAATTTGGTTACAAAAACAACTACCCGTGAGCAGATCAAATTTGGACAATTGGATTTTAAACAACTATCTGTGAGTAGAAGGGAAAATTGGATTAGGAAATTCTTCTTAATTGGGCACTGAAGCGGGAAGGTCTAAACAGGAAGTCAGCCTTCCGTTTCTTGTAGATAGATTAAAGCAAAGACATGGCAAACTAGAGTTCAGAAAATCGTTTGTAAAGGATCAACTTTCATCATCTAAAACTACTGAACCCCCTTCAGAAGCAGGAGAAGAGGGGGGATTTTTTCCGGATTGTTTAAACTTGCAGGAGAGAGTGTAAAGAAAAGTAATTTTCCACTGTCTTGAACCTGGGAGCGGGGTGTCAGGACAGACGTTTTTGGGAAGTTCATTGACTATAGACAAATGTTTTTGACAGATAGTTAAAAGAAGAGAAACATAGTGATTCCATTGTTCTCTTTCGCATTTTAAAGGAACAAATACTGACAAAATATCTGAAAAAGGAAACTTTGTTGTTAGATCTGATGTTAAAAAAAAAAAAAGAAAAGAGATTGATACAAATAGAAGTTCTTCCCCTAGAGGGAGCTTGTGAAACTGTTATTAAACTTGAACTGGGGAGCTTCACAGCTGCAAACAGATTAAGATCGTGGGAACAGACTTCTGACCTTGCATAACAATGTATTCAGAGGCTCTGGTGCGTGCTTTCTGTAAGACAAGTGCTTTATTGGAACAGTTACATGAGAAGACGGATTTGATGACTGTTGCGATTAGAAATTTTGGACAGGTAGTGGGTATCTATATAGAACCCACCCAGGAATCAACTCAGGAGTGTGCTCTGACAGATCAGATGAGGGAGGAGATTGTTGTTGGACCTCGGGTGGCAGAGATGGAGGGAGCTGTGGCCCAGCAGGAACATGAGTTGTTGGATTTGACAAATGAACTTGGAAAAAGCCAGATTTGGAGAGATAGAGTTTTGTTGGGCTTGGAGATGGGGGGCTTGACTTTTCAAGTCTGGCAATGGGCCGTGAGGAGTTTGGGGTTGTGGGGGTCCTCAACTCTGGAGGGACCTTGAAACATGCTTTTAAATACCACATGGAGTTCAGTGTGGACTATGGAAAAGGGGCTGATCTGTCGAGAAGGGACAAAAATACTGTCAAGTTGGAGTTTCCACGAGTGAAAGGACCAGGAGACAAAGTAAAGTACAGGTATAAATATGAAGAAGATCTGCGGAAGGGACATGGAAGAGACTTAAGGGCCTCGGACATAAGATTACCAGGTTAATGAGCTAGATGGATGGGACAGAAAGGACTGACAAAACCCGGGACCAGGAGGAAGAGACGTTGGATGAAGATTGGAAGAAAGTTTTAAAAAAAAATTATTTAGGATTGCTTTGTAAAATTAATGAGTATTAGAAAAATGTTGGAACGAAACTATTTGGCTTTAGCAGAAATGTTAAAAAGAACTATGCAAGAATATGTTATGGTTATGAGAAATTGGTATAAATAAGATTTAAGTTTTAAGTTTTAGGGTCTTTTATAGTAAGATAAGGTTAAAATAGATTAAGGTAATTTAATGACAGAATATTATGAAAAATGGGAAGGACTTGCTGTGATAATTAATAACTGGAATACAAAAAAGGGAGGTGTGAGGAGGTCGATGAAATAAGGCAATGACAGTTAAGGATTTAGGAATATTGGATCTGTTTTTAAATGTTTGTGGTTTACTTTTGTTTTTTGGATTTTGATGTGTGTGTTTTTTTGTTTTTATTGATTTGTATTGTTTGACTGCTGTTTGCTTTTCCCTTGTTGTTTTCTTCTTCTTCTTTGTCTATTTGTTTTTTCTGTAACTTTAAAATGCTTAATAAATATCATTTTTTTTAAAAAAAGATACACCTCTTTACCCTGGTTTTTGAAATTTGAGATCTTATGCACCAGGTACGGGGCCCCCTGAGTGCTTCAGGCCCCCCCCCCAGCATTCCCTATGAAGGGGTCAGATACCCATTTTTTGTGTCGGGCCATATGCATCCAACATCAGTACGTCCAATGTCAGCACATCCACTGATGTCTGTGTGTGATGTCAGCATGCTACGGTGGCAAGCTGATATCAGGTGCACACACTGGTGGGCTTGCTGACATTGGGCATGCATGTACATCTGTGGCATGCATGACCCTAGGCACCCACAGTCCCGGGTCCAAGCTGGCAGGCCTGCTTGAGATATATAGTGATCCACACTAGCTGTGATTGAAATTTGTTTCAAACTTTTTTTAATCTTGTATTTTACATTGCTGTGACCCACCCCGGGACCTTCTGGTGAAGAGCATGTAATAATAATTCTGATAAATAAGTAAGAGATACCTTGTCTCTATTGTGTGCTAGGAAACATCTTTCCCAAGGCATTTAGTTGCCTAGTGTCAGAAGGCAGAATGCTGAATTATCTGGACTTTCCACCTGCCCACAAATACAGTTTTTATCTTCTGTCGCATTCCCCCAAAGTCAAATCAGTGCTCCGTCATTTCAAGAGAGCAGCAGAATCCCCATTACTGAAAAATAGAATACATTTTGCTTCCCCTCCTTCCCTGTTATGAAAGTACACAGCTACATAAACAGACATCGGAGCTTTATTACGCCCTCCATTCTGCTGTCTAGTCCAGCCTGGGTGGAAAGAGGAACAGACAGGCAGTCAAACTCTGTTCTAAAAAGGGTCGGCATACATCACGAGCACATCCTCTTCTTGATTTAAGCTTTGCAGAGAGCTGGCTAGAAGTGTTCAGTTTTTTAAAATGCAACTGGAATTTATCTGCTCTAAAAGAAACTGCAATCTGAAGTGTTCTACCTTTCAGGGATAACACTGCAAGATTGACAAAAATATAAATTTGGCTTTTTTAAAAAAGCTGGCAAAATTAAATCTTTTTTGAGTATAATTGGGTGAAGCATGACAACAAGAAATGTACCAGAAAATGAACCTCTCTACACTTCTGTAGCAGGCTAGATTGTTGTACAATTAAGCCAATTGTGCATGCAATGTGCAACAATTATTGAGATCTGCATAAATGTATACTACAGTCTGTGCTTTTGAATGGGGACAAGCATGATGTGGAATTAAGGCAGTTGCACATGCAATCCACGACAGATACTCCTGTCTGCATTCATTTATGCTCCAGTTGATACTTATGAATGAATGGGGAGGGTGATGCACAATGGAAATAAGCTCATCCTTTGCATGCAGAAGGTGTCAAGTTCAATCCTTGATGGCATCTCTGGGTAGGCCTGGAAAAGTATAGAATAGCTTTTCCCAAGTTGGTGCCCTCCAGATGTTTTGCACTACCACTCTCATCAGCCCCAGCCAGCACAGCAATAGTCAGGGATGGTGGAGGCTGTAGGGGACATTTAGAGGACACCATGCTGGGGAAGGCTGGTGCAAATAATACTGAGCTACAAGGGCCAGTGTGACTTAAGGCAGCTTCCTGTGTGTATGCAACGAGTGATAATGATTCATATATGCATATATGCTTTTGCTCCTGAATGGACAGTATAATGCCTGCAGCTGGCTGCCACCAGGGGATGGAGGGTTTCACCTGCCTTGCCCCACACGCTTCATAAGGTGATTGCTTTATGGATATTCTGGCTTAACCTATTAGTAAGCTGTACGCTTGCTTAAATGTTAATATATGTTAAATGACTGGTTAATTGTTGATTATTATTGTTGTAAGTTTTTTTGGGGGGAGGGGGAGTTAGGTTGTATGCCTGCATCCCATCTAATTCCTGAATCCAGCAAGAGTTAAAATCTAATGGCAGATTCAATTCTCGAAATAGCCAGGCCAGCTTCTTGGTAATGGTCCTAAGTATGGGTCGCAGGAGGCAAATGGATCAGCCCACTCCTGATGGGCCCCCTCCCTCACCTGGCTAGAAGCGAGAAAGACAAAAGGTATAGCTGAGCATGTGAGCTGGGCTAGAAGCAGGCTGTAGGCAGAACCATGAGAAGGAAAGCCATTCTGGATTTCTACTTGGATCCAAGGCTGTGATGATTGGAGAAGCAAAACCTTCTGGGGTGTTGTGCCCCTCCATCATAGGCTCAGGTTGTATATATTTGTAAATAAACCATCATAAAGACACCACAGTCTCCGTTGTCCCTCATTCAAAGGAAACTGAACCCTTGGTAAGTGCCTGGAACCCCTGGAATCTTGCACCGCTTGGAGATTGGGGTGGTGTACAACATGATTATTTTAGCAGTTATAAGTCTAATCATGCATTGTTACTGTATTATTGTATTTAGAATTAGTTTGTTCTGTGAACCACATTGAACAGAGTTGTACTTCGGGATAATGTGGTCTATCAATAGACTGGAAATGACAACATTGACAATTGGGAATCACAACGTGGATCTGCTTTTCAAAAATAAAAAAAATGAAACATCCACATTTGCTGATGACAAGCTTCTCAAATGTGTAATGCTTCTCATGTGGGAAGGAAGAAATACCTTCCAGGGCAAAGGCACCGGTTTGCCACCCCACCCCTGTTACATAATACCAACGTGTGGTTAGAATAATAGAATGAAGGAATCCTGCCCACAGCCATCCCTGGGTGGGTTTGAACTACCAATCCTCTGATCAGCAGCCAGATGCATTGACCCATTGTGCCACTGGCGGGGGCTGGCCAAGAAAGAACGGCTCAGCATCAGTGCCCTGCAGTGGAGGGCTCATGCATGCACACTCTACATGAACAATACTTCATGCTTGGATGCAGAAACGCCTCTGGAGCAACAACATACTAAAATTGCCCACCTGACATTCTAAGAACATAAGAATGTCAACACAGTGGCCAACCAGATGCCTGGGGGAGACCAGCAAGCATGACCTGAGCACTCTCCCTTCCTTTGGTTTCAGCAACTGGTATTCAGAAGCATTGCTGCCTCCTAATATGGCAAGGAGCTTTTGATAGCCCTCTCGTTCATGAATTTGTCTAATCCTCTTTTAAAGCCATCCAGATAGGTAACCATCACTGCTTCCTATGGGAGTGAGTTCTGTAGTTTAACTATGCGCTGCATAAAGAAATACTTTCTTTTATTTCTACTGAATCTTCGAACACTCAGCTTCATTGGATGTCCACGATTTGCATGTTATGAGAGAAGGTTCGCCTCCCCTCCTCTACCCACTTTCTCCGTGCCATGCATAATTTTATAAATTTCTATCATGTCAACTCTTGCTCACCACTCTCTAAAAGATCATTCCAGCAACTGTTCCTGATGGGATCAAATGAGCTTTGGGCTATGGTGTAATTTTAAAGCACATTCAAAGCACCATCCTCCACTAAGAATTGTAAGCACTGCAGTTTATCCCTCACAGAGTTACAATCCTCCGCAGCCCTTAACAAACTGCCCAGAATTATTGGAGGGTGGAAATGTGCTTGGAATGCATACCCAGCCAAAATTTGTGGTCATTTTGATCTATTTTCCCAGTCCCATTTCTGCCTCTTTCCACAAGCTTTCAAAATAGAGGAAAGTAAGTGTAAAGGTTAAGCTGCCATCAGTTGCTACCAAACCCATGTCTCTTGGATGTGAGATCACAGCAGCCATTACAAATAATATGAAAGAGGGAGAAATTTCCCAAGATAATTTGGGTTTTGCCTTGACAGTGGATGAAGATACACAGAAAACTGATTTCCATCATCCAGTTCCTCCCAAGCTCATAACTCTTTGGAGAACACCTGAACAGCTTCCTGGTCAAACTTAATCAATGCTTCATTTATCATTAAATCCATTCACAATATCTTACATTCAGACTTGCAGGTGTTTTAATGATTGAAATTAGGAATGGAGTATGGTACTTCATTTTCTCTTTGCAAAAACCTGGGGAAACTGTCTTTGAAGTCTGCTGCATTTTCCAAAAATTAATATTCAGCTTTGTTAATGTAAGAACTAGCAGATTTTCTTTTTAATTCTGATCTCTCTGCCTTACAAGGAGTTGTGCTGATTAACACTCAAGACAGATATTAATAATTACTGGCTTTTAATATTTTCAAAGGGAGAGAGGACATTGTTTGGTTATACCAGCATACTTTGGGGAAACCTGAGACCTTTTGTGACGTGCAGAAGCCAGTGTAATGGGCTTTTACAAGTAGGGAGTGATAATTGGGCTTGCTTCACATTTCAATTGTAAGCCTGAATAATTCACACTTCCCATAACAATATGGAAACCAAAACACAGCTATCTTTTGAAATTTGCACTTCTCTAAATTTTGCAATGCTGTTTCCAACCCCAAAATGTATGTATTAGGGAAAGTATGCATAAAATGCATATATTAGTGAAAACAATATGCAAAAATGCAGTTTCAGAAATGTGTGTGTTAGGCAAAATTGCATACCAAATGTATTAGGAGAAATGTGCAGTAAAATGCTGATGGATTTTCATAGGGACTTTTTAAAAAATTACCAAAAACATAGTTTGTTCTTCTGATCTTTTTGTGCATACATCCCACCTTTTTCTTGGATTTGGTTAATTTCATGCCTGAGGAAACAAAGCAGCTACTGGACTACTTTCTAATTTCCAGCTAATCCAACAGCCATTCCAGTGTAAGTTGTTCCTTGCCCCCCCCTCTTTCCCCCCCTAATATGCCTATTGGATGCCTTTTGCTGTTCTGTGTAATTTGCTCCAGAATCTAAATACGCTTTCTGGATTGTTTATCCCTTGAAAGATTCATGAGGTGAAACCTAAAAACAAGATGAGGAATTATCTTTCACCTCCAACAGGCCAACAAGAAATTCAGGGATATGTAGCCTTTGATGAGTTGAGATTAAACAGAATGATGTGGAGGGGGAAAAGCAACTTTTATACAGATATATAAATATTTCTACAATGACCTCCTGAGCTCTCCCAATTCAGCTTTGTTCAGTGTTTTCACGCTGGCGTTAGATTTTTCAAGCAGATAGTGATCCATCATTGATTAGCTGTCATAGGCTCTGAATGCTAATTAATGCATTTCAACTCTTCAACCTCCTTTAAATCAAAGATACTAAAAGCACCACAGTTTTCCAGGGCATGCAAAAGCCAGCATGACTTGAAAAGAAGAAGGAATCCCAAGGACACTTTCAAAAGCATGCCTAAAGTAAATATTCTTATTCTAAAAAATGAGCATGTCAATTAAGTATGAATGTAGCACCAGAGTTCTGAAACTTGCAACTGCAGCATGTCATGCTAGAGATGGCCACTGACTCTGATGGCTTTAAAAGACAATGAGGCAAAGTAACATTAGAAGAATCTTCTGGATCAGGACAATGGTCCATCTAAGATAGCATCCTGTTCTCACAGCAGACAACCAGATACCAGTGTTAGAAATTGAGATATGAAAGCTAAAAGCTAAATGGCACCTTAAACCTAGGTGATGGGCACAACAACAGAATGTCTAGGCACACTTTCTTTAAAACAAGAATACAAAGCTGAAAATGAACAAACTGCAGATAAAACATTATGTTCATTTTTCACATGGTCTAGTCTTTCCCCTGCCCACCCCCCTAATATTCTAAAGAGGGTCTCTTCTCCAGTCTTCAGAGAGTAACTAGAAGTGGGGAGGCAGAAAAAGGTCTCCTTTCCTTCCACTCTGCAGTTTTAATCTGAAATTTTAGGTGCAGTACTACGCCCAGAGCTCAGAAACTGCTCGCATTAATGAAATTCCCTGTCGCAAAATGCGCCTAGAACAATGGGAGTTTTGGACACTGCCAGATACTTGTGGGAAACCCACAAGCAAGACCTGAGCAAAAGAATATTCTCCCCTCCTGCAGTTTTGAGCAACAGGTATTCAGAAACCCTTCTGCCTCCGTTCATGGAGGCAGAGCATGGCGATCATGTCTAGTAGCCATTGATAGCCTTCTCCTCCAGGAATCTGTACAATCCTCTTTTATAGCCATCCAAACTGGTGGCCATCACTGCCTCTTGGAGTAGGAAGTTCCATAATTCAACTATGTGTTGCATGAAGAAACACTTTCTTTTAACTGTTCCAAATCTTCTACTATTCAGCTTCATTGGAGGCAAAACTGGATGAACCAGGAACTTATCGAGGGAAGAATTTGGATCTGAAGAACTGAAACCTTCCTAGTCCCCTGGCATGCCCACCAAAATGAGGAAGGTAGGGATATATCAGCCATGCAGCTGGAATAAGCATTTATCCTCCCAGTGGAAGCAAGGAGAGGGAAATTGTAAAATTTCCACCAGCCGGGGAAAAAGCATTGGAAGGGAAGAGAAGACTCCCACCCTCCCTTCCTGTGCCCTGGCAAGGCTTTTGATATCATTGATATCCCTTTGGCTCTTTCTCAGCCTAGAGGCAGGATGTCTCCCAGCAGCGGGGCTGCTCCTATATTCCTGGGAATGACCCACATTGAACCTCATGGGAATTGCTTCTGAGTAGGCATGTGTAGGGCTGCAGTTTTGGTAATGTTTCAGGCGTGTGCGGGATGATGAAAGGCAGTTTCTAAGAATTTTCAGGTGGGGGTGGTGATCCTTGTTTACAAGATGGCCAAGGGGGCTTCCTCTTCTTTTTGGATTACAACAGCGGCAAGAGCAACAACAGCCTTGGCCCCACACTTTGAAGTGTGGTTTGGCTTGGCTTTCCTCAGCAGCTCAGTTCGATGCCAAACCACCCATTATGAAGGGAAACCCATAATTTTATATTTATTCATTTATTTATGGCTGTATTTATTGCTGAATGAAACAAAAGCAGGCTGGGGGAAAGGAGCAACAGTGCCGGGGTCAGATGTTTCACTCTTTCACCTGACAACCCCATAATCTCAAACTCACCTCCAGCTGCTGCCTACCTTGCATTTTCCCTCACCAGGGTAAAGGCAGGGGAGGGAGGGAGAAGAGAGATTGAGAAAGAGGGGAGAGGGTTAAGCATCCCTTCCTCAGCACCACTGCCCCCAATTCAGTATCATCCTGCCTGCTTTTAAGGCAGCCATCCTATGCATGCTGACTTGGAGTAAGCCCTGTTGAACATCCTTCTGAGTAAACACGCACAGGATTGTGCTGGAAGTAAAATTCTGTATGTAGGGAAAGCCAACACTGTGCTCTTGTTTTGGACCACAATTCCCATCACTCTTGACCATTGGCCATGCTTGCTGGGGCTGATGGGAGCTGGAGTCCAAGAACATCTGCAAGCCACTGTGGTTGGCTACCCCTGCTGAATCTGTTTGGGAGATGCAATCACCCAGCTCTCAAAATAAGGGTCCATTTAAAGTAAGGTGGTTCAATGCACGGCCCTTTTGTGCCCCTTACCCAAGACCTCACACTGCCTTCCCAAAGCTGAGTTAGTGAGGTGCTGGGCTTTGGGAAGGAGGTGTGAGGGCTCTGACAGGGTCCTAGAGTCATCCATGCTCCTTCCCAAAGCTTAGTTAGTGCTTTCCCAGCTTTGGGAAGGAGGTGGGAGAACTCTAGGACCCTGGGATGTGTGTGTTAAATTTTGGCCTCACTCCCCCACCCTGCAGGACAAGCCCTGCAGGTTCAAAGTACTCTTGTGGCTCACTTGGTAAGGAAAGTTGGGCTGCCCTGAGGTAAAGGATTCCTGATACACTCACTGGCTCAAAGGAGAACAGATTCAGTTTCTACACAATTTTGCATTACAGTATGTCCTTTTAACGGAATGGGGCATTGATCAGGCAGGAGAGATGCCTTGTTGCAGGATGGATAAAATACTCTTTAATTAAACAGGGCACATTAAAAAACGTGTGGCAAATTTACGGCAAGCTGTTTTAGTCATTTTTATTTCATTAATACTTCACAGTACTTATGGGTTATGGCTGAATTGGCTTTATAACTAATTAAACCTATTAAGTGTCTCATCCTTGCGAACCAGAATTGAACCTGTCCTTGGGGGTGGGGCGGGGCAGGGTGCCGAATGGGTTTCTAAATCTTCCTTGGGACTGAACTGGAAGCGACAGAGGCAAAGCTAAATCGAAAACAGAACAGAACCAAATATTTCAGAGGATGTTTATTCCTGCTTCTAAGAGTGCAGCCACATTAGCATATGAATGTTAATAATGCCAGTTGGAATGAACATTCTGGGAATACAAAACAAAGCGCGATGACAGACAGGCATCTCTCACGAAAGCAACCTGACACAACGAAGGAAGACGTAACAAAGGGGTGGAAGGAAGGGGAAACAGCAGCAAGCCCCCTCCCCATTTGCCCCGTCTACCTGGGCAGGTGGCGGTATTATTGCATATCCGGGTCTCCCGCAACAACCCGCTACATAGTGTCCCGTAAGGCGATGAGACGCAGGAGCGAGTCCGCACCTGGGTGCCTTGGCCGCAGGTCAGTGAACAGACGCTCCACTGGGACCACTCCTCTGCTGCAGGGTCTCCTGTGGGAAAGAGGGAAACACGCACACAAGCATACAGACACAGAGAAAAACTGGTTCAGCCACCTCCAGAACAGACGGAAGACCTGAAAGTAGCTCTAATGCTGTGCCCACGCAACTAGGGCTGGACAAATCAGGCTATTTCTGGTGGGCATAACTTCTGCTGGTGTTTGAGCATCTTTCCATTCTGTTCTCTTTCCACATTAATCTGTGTATGTGTGTGCATGTTTTCTTAAGAGCATCAAACATTTCATGCAAATGTGTGTTCAAGATACTTATAAAATGTATTTTCTCTCAAGATGTCCATTCCCATTCTCAGTCAGACTTCTGGGGTGTACACTGACCACAAGATGTGGTTCAGAGACCAAATCAGTGCCTGATTTAGAGTAATAGAATCAGAGAACTGTAGAGCTGGAAGGAACCCACAGGGTCATCTAGTCCAACTAGTTGCCCTCGCAGGAATGGCAGCTAAAGAATCCCTGGTGCATCTAGGCCAGTATTGATTGATAGCAATAGCTCTCTAGGTTTCAGAGGGTCTCTTCTTGCCCTACCCAGCGGTACCAGGGATTGAACCTACGAGCTCTGGCATGCAAGGCAGATGCTCTACCGCTCAGCTATGGCCAAGCAGCCATGTATGTGTAAGGTTCAGAGCTGAAGTAGTGCACAGAGCAGCAAGCAAGCAAGCACAGTGTTTGGAGGAGGCTGCCACAGGCAAAATGTCTATCCTAACTGAAACAGCCAACTCAGAAGAGAGAAAACTAGCAAAGCACATAGAACAGACAAGATCAACATCCCTCCCACAAAGCACTCTGGCCGGAGGGCCTTGGCAAATCCTTTTTGTGTGCGGATGGACTTGTTTTTAAAAAATGCTATATTTGTATTGCATTGCACTTTGTATTTATTGTTGCTGTTAAATCACTTCAAGATTTTTTTATTTTTTTGTGGGAAACAAAGCACAAAGCGACTAACAGACAAAGATAGAATCCCTTCTGATTAGAAGTAAGATGTGTCAGTCACCAAAACGCACAAACATACTGCCTCACCCTCTCCTCACCCTGGCAATTTCCATATATTGTATGGGAAAATTGGGGAGAAACATTGCAATTTTTGCAGATCACGTTATCCACAGCTCTGTTTGGTACCAAATTTTCGAATTGCTCACAAAGCTTTGGGGCCCCCCAATTTTGGTTCAGAGGGATTTGAAGGGAGCTCCGCCTTGGATAACTCCAAAATAAGGCCAATTTCACATAATCCTAGAATTGTAGATTTGGAAGGGGCCTCTAGGGTCATCTGGTCCAACCCCCTGCAATGCAGAAATTGCAAGTAAAGAATCCCTGGCACATGGCCATCCAACCTCTGCTTAAAAACCTCCAAGAAGGAGACTCCACCAACTTCTAAGGGAGTCCGTTCCACTTTTGAACAGCTCTTACCAGCAGAAAGTTCTTCCTAATTTTAGTCCTATCTTGTAATCTGAATCCATTGGTTTGGATCCTCCCCTCTGGAGCAGCAGAAAACAAGCTTGCTCCATCTTCCAAATGACAACCCTTCAGATACTTGAAGGTCACTATCATATCACTTCTCAGTCTTGTTTTCTCTAGGATAAACATATCCAGCTCCCTCAGCTGTTCCTCATGCTGCTTGGTTTCCAGAATATTCATCATCTTGGTTGCCCTCCCCTGCACATATTCCAGCTTGCCAATATTCTTCTTAAATTGCGGTGTCCAGCACTGGACACAGAACTACAGGTGTGGTCTGACCAAGGTTGAGGAAGGTACTATCAGTACTTTTTTCTGGGGGGGTATCCCTAAACATTTTGTGAATCCCTGCACTTTTGTCCATTTACTGTATTTATTTTTCCCAATTTTAACTATAAAATGGTGATTTTCTTGAGTCAAAATGAGAGTACCCCTAAACATTTTTTAAGAAAAAAAACCACTGGGTACTATTACTTTCCTTGGTCTGGACACCATACTTCTGGCTCAGGATTCATTAAAATCCAGTGCTCTTCCCTACAAAGTATACTTTCAAACTGAGAATTGCATAAGAAAGCTGGCACTAGGGGTTGCAGTCAACTAACCTTTACTCAGAGTAGACCCATTGACATTAATGGCCCTTATTAACTTAGGTTTCATTTATTTTAGTGGGTCTACTCTGATTAAACGTCAGTTGACTACAAACCTTAGTTCCAATATGCATGTTAGTTTAAAAGGTGTGGATTTGTTTTTGAATCCACAAAGATCAAATTCCTCACTCATCCCTAACCTGCAATCTGCTGGGGGTGGGTGGCTGCTGGAGTAGTTAGGCATTTAGCTGTTTCCCACAGTGTATCAAACATCAAACAATAACCTGAATTGAGAAAGAACCGGCTAATCACCACTGATAGAACTTCCTTACCCTATGAATCACCTCAAATGCTCATATTTGCTTTACAAATTAAACATAATGAGGTGGTAGAATTCTGGGCTGCATCATTTCAGGTCTGACATCAGGGTGTGGGTGGGTTTTGATGTTCCACAGACAAAAAGCTCCTTGCTGCAGGGAGAAAACTTGCACACTAGGGAGAGGTTGCATCCAGAACCCATCTCCTTCATCTGTTTATTTTCGCATGCCACCCCAAACTTCAAGTAGTGCAAGATTTCAGGGGTCCCAGGAGCTTGCCCGGGGTTCAAGTTTCATTTTGGAAATGAGGCACTGTGGAGACTGTGGTGTCTTTGTGGTTAATTTACACATCTGAGCCTATGATGGAGGGGTGCACAACATCCACACTCAAAAAGTATCCTCTCTCAAAGCCACAGCCTTGGCTTCCAGCAGAATTCAGCCATGGCACTCCCTCTCCCTCCCCCCCCTCTGCATTTCTAGCCTGCAACTATTTGCACCTGGGTCACATAACACACACACTTTCAACTCTAAACTCTGGCTTTTGTCCATTTCACTATCAGCCCTCTCTCCTTTGCTTTCTTAATGGCCCATCAATTAATCGTCATCATCACCCCCCGCCCCGGTGATCACCTGAACACAGGAAACTAAGTTAATTTAGCTAACTAAAAAGCTAAATTAATTAGCTTTTAACACATGCTGGGTCCAGGGGTTAGGTGTTTGGCACCCAGTTTAATACCCCAAGCCTTGATTAAATTCTAACACTTACTGGATCCAGGAATTTAGAGGGGTCTGCCACCTTTGAACTCATGACAATATACAAAAAAGTTTCTTTTTCCATGGGAGAGGGAGCATACAGAGATATAAGCAAGGGGTACTACAATCAAGAATTCTAGCACTTTGTTCTGCAGAAATCAGCCATCAAGTGAGTAATTGAGTGAGAAATTACTATGGGAACTGTATAACTTAGAGAGGAATTAAGGCAGTGTAGTTCAGGGTGTCCAAGAGGTGCTTGTACCCAGCCCCATCAGCTTAGAACCCACCCAAAGCCTCTCAACACAGGATTTCAAGAAATCAACCAATAGCTTCTCTAACAAATACCTTTTATCTGTGGCACAAAAATATTTCTACCATCTTGCAGCTGTGTAAGTTCCAGAGAGATGACCACACATCCATTCACTGATCCAACCACAGACATTATTTTTCCATTGGGGTCCCTTCCAACTCTACAATTTGATGATTCCATGTTCAGATTCCTGCATTGCAGGGGGTTGGACTAGATGACCCTTAGGGTCCCTCTCAACTCTACAGTTAGATGATTCTATTATATATATATGGCACACCATATATATTTTTCACCCTTCAGAGCTTTGGGTAACCCTCTCATGTAGGAAAAGTAGGTTTCAGCACTGTTCTTTTGGACAGCTCCCTGGATGGATGGCAAGGACATCCTAATACCTGACAGGTAAGATGAGTCTTCGTTCCCCACTGCAGCTGCTACTGAATTTTCACAGGAACATAAGAATTTCCCTTCATAGAATCATAGAGATGGAAGGAACCCCAAGGGTCATCTAGCTCATTCCCCTGCATTGCAGGAATCACAGCTAAATAATCCAACAGATGGCCATCCAACCTTGCAAGACCACAGGTTCACCTAGGCTGCAGCTCTCCAGGGTTTCAGCCAGGAGAACATTCCCAGTCTTACTGGGAGATGCCAGGAATTGAACCTAGACCTTCTGCATGCCAAGCAGAAGCTCCATATACCACTGAGCTGCATCCCTTTCTTTCCCTTTTGTTTCACCAAAAAAAATTCAGAGTAATTCTGGAGGCATTGCCTTCAGTGAAAACATCTAAAGAATTGTGAGAAAAGCCTCTTCATCACTACATCACCATCAAGGAAGAAACAAACGAACGTTAAGGACCTCTAATGAAATTTCAGAGAAGGATTCTGCACATTCCTAAGCTACCACCTGTGTGCTCCTAAAATTAAAAGCATTCTAAAGTTTCCAAAGCCCAAAGTTTCTGTAAGGCCAAAGAGAGATTGCTCTGTGGGCTTTTTCACCCTGGCCTAAAAACTGGTGTTTCTGTTGTTGAACTCTTGCAAATCTTTTCTGTAAAATTTTTTTGTGGGCATTGGTGCATCTGAAAAACAGATGGCATGACTGGCCCTCTGCCCTTGAGGGCTCCCCACTTTTTCAGTCATGCGGATGCCCTTCAGAAAGCCATGGATGGCCTGTGGAGAAAATATGTGGACCCGTCATTTGCTGAAATATGAGGCGGTCCACTCCCTGATGACCCCCAGTCAAGGCTGGTGGCTGAGGCACAGACCTGGTTCAACCAGCCTGCCTCTCTTTCCTTCTGCCCTGAGCAGGCAAGGCATTGACATTTACAACAATCTGGCTCTTTATTAGACTTGATGATCTATCTGAAGTTATTGGACGGGCTTGCCGTAGAGGACATCCATTTAAATTACGGAGGAACAGATGGAGGAGGAAGGAGGGAGGTGGGCTACATTTTTCCAAAGAGCAAGAGAGAGAAAGAAAGAGAACGCAAATATTAGCCGAAAGGGGCGTCCATGTGAGAAGTCATTCCTGCAGAACACTGACCTTCAAGTATGAGGGTAAAATGGATATTATTGTGTGTGAGAGGGGGGTGGATGCCTTCTGTTACCAGAATGCCTGGAGTAGACAAAATAAGACTCTGCTAGGAAATAAGAGGCCCAAGCCACAGTTGGTGAAATCCAGTGTATTTCCAAGGACATCAGGAGATGTCAGCCTGGGGAGTATGGTTGCTATCACCACGCTGTGTTTATCTTGATTTAGGGCCTTCTTTGCAAGCCAGGAACCAATAGTTTCAGCAGGATATTTCAGAATGACTGGTACTTTTTATTTTATTTTTAAAAAGCATGTAGCTAGTCCGTAATTCAACCCTTCATCAGCCCATGAACACAACTGGATTTTTATAATAATTTTTGTAATAACAAAAAAGATTTCTTTGGCTATGTTTGAAACAAGAGGAAGAACTAACAAGTAGGAGGTCCTCTGCGCAGAGAAGCTGGAGGAATGCTACTGGGTGACAGAGAAGGTGAAACTGCTTGACACCTATTACCCTCTGTTTTCACCCAAAAGTGAAGCAGGGCTTAACCTGGGAATAACAGAATAAATGATGCAAAGAAGGGAGCTGCAGCCCAAGACAGGAAAAGTGGTGGAAAGGGAATGCCTAGCTACTTTAAATGAATTCAAATCTCCAGGGTCTGATGAGCTGCACCCTGACTCCGTTCATGACTAAGGGGACAGTGAGTGGGGAGGCTCAGAAGCTTCACAGGCTCCAGAGTGAGACCTCATGGGTGTCATGTAAGCTACAGGCACCACATTGGTGACCCATTCAGTAGCCATTGCACCAAACAAGCTTATTTATCAAGGTCAACAGACTTGCCACTATCTATATTTGCACAACTGGCTCAACAGATCCCTCTAAATTCTCCAGGATTGTAGCTCCAATTGTCTTCGCAGGCAGTGCACACAATGGCCCAGAGACTATAAATCAAAGGCAAGGAGAAAGGGAGAGGAGAGGGGAAGTGAATGGCGTTCACATTACCCAGACGAATTTGCTAAATAAATACGCAGGAGCTAAACAATTAATACATTTGTTTTCTTTATGGGTCTCCAAGGAAGGTGCTAAGAGAACGCATAAATGGAGCAAATTAAACTCAGTTGCACCAGGGAGGGTGGTGGTGGTGGAAATAGGAAGAAGGGATAAGCGCACATCATCTCAATTCGCTGTCGCCATGAAAATGATGGGGCTCGGGGGATTGGTGGGGATTGAAGATGAGATGCAGGTTTTTCAGTCATTGGAGGCTGCATCTTAATTAAAATGCATGTGACTATTGGAGCTGGAGGAGAAGCTGGTGATGAATAGCTGGTCCCAGCTTAGACGAGCTACCAGTTGTAACATCTGGCAGGCGTCTTCACCCCAAAATTGGTTGCCTTTGAGCAATGCAAGGCTGTTGTGAGTATTGTAAGACAATAATAATGCTGTACTGGCAAAAGCACAGGCCAGCCTTTGCCAACCTGGTGCCTTCTAGACATTCAGGACTGCAACTGCCCAGCCCCAGAAAACACAGACTGCGTCTGAACACCAACAATGCTCTTGTGCTTGGATCTTGTTTGCCGGTTTCCCTTTGGGGGATCTGGCTGGCCACTCTGAGAACAGGATGCTGCAACAGATGTATCCAGAAGGACTCTCCTTATGTTCCTATACCATCCTTCATCTAAAATTATTTCAGGATGCTTTGCAAACTGGGAGGGAGAAGATTTGCTGAAATGTTTCATGGTGGGACATTCCATGGTAGCGAGCAGCTGTGGTCTCTTATTTCCATCAACCCAACTTATTTTGAATATATACTACACAGTATATATTTAAGTATTCTTGCCACCATCTCTTATTGGCAGTGGAGCTTTATCCATGGGGGCCAGCCTAAAGCTACTATTTCCCCTGTCAAAACAGAACACCCAACTCCAAAAATTAAGGCATTATCACTATGGAGCATCACTTTAGGGGCATTCTGGTGTGAGGTGGAGCAGGAAGAATGATGGCATCTCTCCACTCAGAAATGAGAGCAGGAATTATATGCTTTAAAATTGGGGTCCCTCATGTGGGCACCACAGTGCCTTCAGGCATGACCCCCTGGGGGCCCACCAAGGCCACCTGCCACTGAGATATTTATTTTGGCTTTTTGAAGAGATTTCTTTTAGGGTAGAGTTCCACTTATTTGTCTGCTTGTTTTTTGTTTTTGTTTTTGCCTGTTGCGGTGTGTTTGTGTGTAAGCATTAGTAGTTTCCCATTGTGAAATGGTATATTGGGGGGCCCCTTGGCAGTATTTTATGATTTTCAAATGTGTCCCCAGGACCCAAAAGATGAGGGTCCCTGCTTTCAAAAGAGTTTTTTAAAAAGAAACAAAAGTGAATCAGAGTCAAAGATATTGAACTGAACGACAGAAAGGCCAGACTTTCTGTTCATCCCTAGCAGGGAGGCACCTCCAATGAGCAACATCTTAGTCAAAAGCCCTCAGAAATTAGGATATTTCTGCTAAAATGCAGAAGCTGTCTTAAAAAGTTGGTGTCTCCTTAAAATTAGCGACGATTTCACAAGTCTAATTAATCAATATTCAAAATCAGTGATGTTGCAAGACTGGTTGAGAAACTAACTATGCTTGTGATGCTAATGTTGTAATTTGCAATTCACAACATGGAGGTGTCTGAAAGCTCTTGAGGTCTCAGCATCAGCTGAGGGTTTATGGGCTCCAGTTCCCACTGGGCCCAACCGCTATGGCCAATGGATAGGGTTGATGGGAGCTGTACTAGAACAGCACTGCTTTGAAGCAATGATTCTTCAACATCAACTTTGTTGGACTGGTCATGTTGTGCAGATGTCTGATAATTGTCTTCCAAAGCAACTACTCTATTCCGAACTTAAAAATGGAAAGTGTAATGCTGGTGGTCAACAAAATAGGTTTAAAGACTCTCTCAAGGCAAATCTTAAGAAAAATGTAGTATAAACACAGACAACTGGGAAACACTGGCCTGCAAGTGCTCCAATTGGAGAACAGCCTTTACCAAAGGTATCATGGGCTTTGAAGACACTCAAACTCAGGATGTAAGGGAGAAAGGTGCTAAGAGGAAGGCACGTCTGGCAAACCCTCACCATGATCAACTCCCACCTGGAAACCTATGTCCCCATTGTGGAAGGACGTGTGGATCCAGAATTGGCCTCCACAGTCACTTATGTACCCACTGGTAAAACTGTGTTTATGGAAGACAATCTTACTTGGCTACGAGTGATCGCCAAAGAAAGAAGACTAGAACAACATCTGGAGGGCCACAAATTCCCCATCCCTAAGCTAGTTTAGTTGAAAACATAAAAGGCCTTTGCAAAAGCTATAGGCTGGTCAGGTGGGGGAGCTTCTTAATTCTTGGTCAGTGATTGTACATCTCTCCCTCAAGGCTCTGGAGGTTCTTACTTCAAAATCCTCTTATGGTGAATTTGTTGAGCTCTGTCTGGCCATTAGCACCTGAGACTTGGACGAGGAGCACTGATTATATTGGAAGAGGAAACTTCAATGCAAAATAGCACAACTAGCACCACAATTTATTTTCGGAAATCAGGGCAAGTTGGTGGGGTGATAAGATTCCAAATGTCCCCTAGAGAAGCTGTTCCAATTCCAAGTTAAATTGAGGGGAGTTCACACATTAAAATCCTTTCCTTTTAAATTTTTCATGCGGCTCATTCTGATGAAGAACCTTAACAATTTGCTTCAAATTTCAGTTTAGGAGAATTCTGGTGAAAATTGAGAGATTATGTGGAACCTCCCCAACGCCCCCTCACCTCTCAACCACCTCCCATCCTCAGAAACACTGCAAGTCTCATCAAAACTATGCTGTATTCCCATGGAATTCCTGGTATGTTTCACCTCAGGAGGACACCCCAAATGTCATTCAAAATGTGTTTGAGGTGAAAAGCTGATTGCAAAACTACCATTGAGTCCTGGTCTGAGACTGTGCTAATAGACTAAGTTGTGGTGTGGTTATGCTGACCACAACAACTTCTTCAGTTTGCAAATATGCCCATGGACCCAATCACACCCCCTGGCATGTACTGAGGAGAAGACTAAAGACTGGACCTGGCTGCAAGGAAGGATACCCTGAGAATGCCCTGATGATTTTTCTCATTTCCCCATGCTTTCCCCGGCAAGGTCATTTATTACCTGTTTGTGCCATGTACA